TAATTGAGTGGTAATGAGTCCTGTAAGGAGGCATGGAGGCTCATAGTGTGAGCAGTGTGACGTAACTACATGTATTTACCTGTTCACATTCTCTGACCACTGTGATGGAGATAACTTTTCTGGGATGTCTAGATCTGTGATTACTGTCATCTGACTCCACCAAAATGCACAGAATTATTTGTTCTGATGTCTGTGAACCAATCACAGTGTTACACATCATCTAAAGTTGACTGCTGTAGAGCCACACCCCCTTTTTCAACATGCATGGCCGACTTTGACAGCCTTCGAAGAGCCAGACTTTGGTGCCACTGCTATTAGAGTCAATGGGGCGACAAATCACACTATCACCCATCATATCTTTGCTGTTTCACCTTAGACTGAAAAATCCTTCAGTCAGATTAAAAAAAACACATTACGTGATGTCGACTGACATTTTTTAGTGTACATTTGCATGTTTGTTTTTCTTGCTATTGGTCTCCAAACAGATCACAGATCTGTCTCAAATCCCTGTTTGGTCCAAGACAGCTAACGTTAGCCGACAAAATGATACATAAACAATTTTCAACTGCTTATCCAAAGTTGTGCTGTGGGGGCAGCAGGCCGAGCAAAGCACCTCAAACGTCCCTCTCCCAGAGGAGATATATAATCCCTCCAGTGTGTTCTGGGTCTGCTCCAGGGCCTCCTATCAATGGGACATGCCCGGAACGCCCATCCTGATCACATGCCTTTACCACCTCAACTGACCCCTTTTGCTGCAAAGGAGCAGCGGCTCTACTCCGAGCTCCCTCCAGATGTCCGAGCTTCTTACCCTATCTCTAAGGCTGAGCCCAGCCACCCTTCCAAGGAAACTAATTTCGTCCGCTTGCACCCGTGACCTCATTCTTTCGGTCTACAAACAGATCACAGCCCCCTGTAACTTACTCAAAGCTCTGTGACTAACATTTTATATCTATTCTCTAAAACAAAAACAGAAGTGTAACGGTGGTTAATAAACGATTTATTGGTTAAGTCAAGTGTCTTCCTGGAGTCCCCACTGGTTGGTGGGCAACTGGTCCCTGCTAAGAGGTAGTTCAGAAAGAAAAACCATAAGTTGTTTTTACAGTTCTGTCTTTGTTCAGGTAAACTAAACTATAATGTGTTAGTCTGTGAACTTTAGAGGTGCTGGTAGGCTAATATTCTTTTGACAGAGCCACGCTAGCCATTTCCCCCTGTACCCAGCCTTTATGCTTGGCTAAGCTAACTAGCTGACTACTTTAGCATCATATGTATCCTATAAGTTTCTGCAAGAAAGAGAGTAAGAGTATTAGCCACCATATCCAACAATTTCTTTGACCCATTCAGAACCCCTAAATTACCTCACTAAGCTAAGCTAAGCTAGGCTATACTAAGCTAGCCGACTGCTGGCTGCAGCTTCATATTGACCATACAGACATAAAAGTGGTATCAATCTGGTCATTCTTTTCAGCTCTTGACAATAAGTTATAATATTTCCCATGTCGCCAAACAATTTCTTTAGTACAGTGTTGCTGTATGCCTACTATTACTTTACTTCACATTTCATGGTACCACATACCCACAATAATTCAGAAGGAAATATTACAGGCCATAGCCAGACATAGACTTTGGTGGGGGACACAGGGGACATGTCCCTCTCAACATCAACATGACAGTAGCAGAGGACTTTAAAGACATTGACCCCTTAAATTGGTGTTTAAAAATTCAGCAGAATGCAGGAAATTAAGAGTCTGACACTCAAAATATTCTGGCAGATGACCCTGAAACCTCTTGTTATCTTTTAATTTATCTGCATCAGCCAACTTAGAGTGTCCCCGTTTGTCCGGCATCCAACCACACCTTGGTATATATCCACAGTCCTTACATTCCTACACAGATGTACATCAGGCTTGTTCCAGACAGGAAACACTAATAATGTATATGTGTGATGCACCAGTGAACCTTCCACCAGGGTAAACAGATCTCTGCAGTCTTGTGCTGAGAGTTCACACTCACACTGGCCCCCAGACAAGAGACCCGACGTCACGGCTGAAATCAGAGCTCGGTAATATAAACCAGTGACTCTCAACAGCTGGTGACTGACACCACAGTTAAACAACGGGCACAGGACTGAGCAAACACTGGCTCTGGTTACCTGGAGTCCGTTCTCAGCCCGGTACCTCAGTGAGGAGAAAAATGTGAACGCTGACATTTACATCTGCAGACAAAACAGAACGACTCGTACAAGAGCGTCATTTAAAAATCAGTTACAAAGGTTGCTTTGTAATTTCTACAGGACCTTTAGGATCCCTGCATACGATGGGGGAATAATTAACAAATAGTTTGACATTTAGGGAAACATTCTGGATTCTCGCAGATGAGGAGATTATCAATACCACTCTGTGTATGGTAAATATGCAGCTACTCGGCTTAAATACGAACAGCTAGCCTGGCACCGTCTATAGGTATAAATGATTAAATAACCCAGCCATAAACACCTGTAAGGCTCTATCTACATTATAAAAAGTGTTAAAACCACAAGTCGTGACTTTTCTAGTTGGGATTACTGAACTCAGGGTGCTTACAGGTATCGGACACTTAAATTTAATGCTTTTTAAGACATTTCCAAGATAATATTTCATTAAATTTAAGACAGATTTTTAAAACAAATCATATTTTTCTTTTTCAAACACTGCAGTTCAGTATAAAGGTAAATAGCATATGAGTGGTCTGGTGCAGAGGAAGGTTGTATATAGGAATACAGTTAATAAAGTGAAGTAAGTGCAAGTAAATAGACAGCATTAGGTTCAGCAGCAGGTTTAAAGATATGGAACATTATAAATGTGGACTTTCATGCAGAAGAGCTTGACTCATTTTGACAAAAAGAAATTAAAAGATGGATAATTTAAATCAGATAAAAATGTGGTAATTAGGAGCTCAAAAATTCAAATTTAAGACTATTTAATGACGTGCAAATGCCCTGTATTACCTATTGCTTGTCTGACCCCTTGAAATATGGTGCCAAAATGTATTAAAAGCTATCAGACATGTCAGAAATATGACTGAATAAGTCATTAAATATTAGATAATTAAAATGGAATGTAAAAATAAATATAAATCGTTATACTTACAAACCTTTAACCTCCAATCAGTTGGTAAAAATAACCAAAAAGTTTTACTCTTCTATTTATATTTCACTTCTTCATTTTATTTTTCAGGCCTTAATTCCCCCCTCCCACAATATTTATTTTTCCTCAACACATTTTCAGTTCTCCTAAAACTTTTTAGGCAAGCTGTTTCTCTGCTTTCAGTCTTAATGCCGAGGCTGCAGCTTCATATATCACCTTCTCAGACCCACCAAAGAGCCATTTTTATCAGGTTTCAGGAGGCTGTGATTATCTAAGAGGTCACAGTCGGTCATTTTATACAGTGAAGTCCATTTAAAACTAGAATTACTGCCCCCTGCAGATGTATGCCTCCCCACAGTCAAGTTTCTCTTAGCGTTAACAGCCATGTCTGTGAAAACATGGATGCTTAACACACATTTTCCCCTCAGCAGCACAGACGCTCTATAGAATCAGCAGTTTCAACATTAGTGTCACCAGTTCAGTGTGTGACCAGATGTCTCCCCTTCTGTTCCTGAGATATGGTGTTAAAGAATGGCCAGAAAAGTATTTTATGCAGAACATTATGATGTCACAGAGATGCTGACATTTGACCTGTTGAATATAAAATGTCATCACTTCATCATTTTATCTTGTTAAACGTTTGTGTGAGATTTTGTCATAATTAGTGTATGAAGTCTTGACTGACTTTAACCTTTGACCTTCAACCACCAAATTCTAATCTAATCATTCTTCAGTCCAAGTTAAAGTTTGTGTTACATTTAAAGAAATTCCCTCAAGGTGTTCTTGAGATATCCCGCTCACGAGAATGACATGGTCAGACGTAAGGACAACCTGAAAACAAAACGCCTCTGGCCACGACTGTCGCTAGCGCCGAGGCATAAAAATGGCCTCACTACAATAAAACGGCTACTATGAAGGCAAACATCATCACACATGAATAACACTAAGCTTACTGAATCCACAAGTCTCAGCTTTACATTCATACCCAATGTGTGCAAGACTGTTCAAGGAGTAAAGTACACAGAAATATTCCCATACAATATATAACACATCTGTACTGCATGTTTTTGCCCAACACTGCATACAACTAGCATAAAGTGGGCACATCTGTAGAAGGAAGATTTGTGGGTACCTGTAGAAACCATTTTCATTTCCACATCTTGAGGTGAGAGGTCAGGGGACCCCTATGAAAATGGCCATGCTTGTTTCTTCTTCGACAAAATTTAGCTAAACTTTGGAGCGATATTTAGCCTCTGGGGTCTCATTCATAAACATTGCGTACACAGAAAACAAGGCCTGAAAAAGGCGGACGCCACTTCCCACGCACAAGTTGTGATCTATTAAAAACAGACTTGATGGGAGAAACTTTGACCCATGCTTACGAACATTTGGGGACAAGGAATTGGCGATGCAGATAGTGAGGTGGAGGCCTGATTGTAGCAATTGTTGAATATTTTTTTGGCATACATTTTTTACTATGGATCCTACACATTGTTTATAAATGAGACCCCTGGTTGGTGCCAATGTATTCCTCAGGTCTTGAATTTTCATGTGATACCAGTGTCTTCACTGTAGCTTTAAAACTCAGCATGCTACAGCCTCTGAAAGACTGTCATGATGGCTGAGATCAATGGTGGTCCCACAGGTGTATTAGACATGACAACTGTATTGATCTCCTCATTTAACTCTTGACAAGAAAACCAATACATATAATTCCCAAAATATCAAGCTAGTGTGTACAGCTTCATTTTTCTTTATCCAGTGTGTTCATAAATTAAAACCTGCGATGACAGATGATGTCGATCCAACACGTCAACATTTACTGTGATGATTTACGTAAAGGACATAAAACTTGTCAAAAAGAAAAGCATTACACCGTTACGATCTTTATGATGTTTTATTCCAGCACAAGTCTTTTGTGTTGTAAAATGGCTGTGTAGCTAGGAATTAAAGGAGAAGTACAAAATGGAAAATTACAGACAGCTCTAGTATAATTTGTTTAAATCCCTATTGAGTTTATTTCCTAAAACCACATCTAGGAAAACAGTATTTCCCTGCCTTCTTTGGAAACATGGTCAGAAATTTAAAAAAAAAAAAAAAAAAAAGGTGAAATAAAAAAAAAAAAAAAAAAAAAAAAAAGATGAAGCTTTATTTCAAGTCACTCTCACGATGGAGGGGAATCTGATAGGGCCGCTGGATGAATCACATTTACAGCCTGGTTTAAAACTTTTTACCTACCCAGTAAGGTAGCCCTTTTTTTTGTTGTTGCGTTACACACACAGTTTCTACTGACAGTGGCACACGGAGAGGGCTGTAAACTACTAAAATGCACCTTTAACGCATTCGTTTTATGACAATGATAATTGCTGCTCCTCTTGAATTCCCCTAATTAAAGCAGGCTAAGCAAATTACATATAATTGACCTTAAAACCACAACACAAGTACATTCGAGAGAGAGAGAACAGCTGCGTCATTACAGGGCCCTGCCAGTTTCCCTCCGTAGTGAAAAGTGATCCTTTCCTCACTTGACACCGTGAAACCATCTTAAAAACAAAAGTTGGTTAAGAGGGGGGTGTGAGGAAACAGCATTATTTGGGATTGTGGTCCACCAGGACATCAGGTAAGGCTTGATTGTCGAGGTTTTTCCCACAAGATCCTGATGATTTTAAACTGTACAATGGTACAAGTTTGGGCCCATGTGTCACTGTGCAAACGTTGCGTCAGCCAGCACACGGACGTACAGTAGCTCACAAAACAATTTCCTGGTCAAAACAACAACAACAAAAAAAAAAAAAAAACTAAACAGGGTTAACACTGAGAAGTGAAGGGGACGACCCTTGCTTTCTTCTTAAATTAAAAAACAAAACAAAACAAAAAAAAAAACATTCATGTTTCAAACTAAAATCCTCTGAAATCATCACGGACCAAAAACACTGCCGTCATTTCCAACAATGAAAACTCTTCCTCAGCTTTGTTATGTACAAGATTTAAACATACCATGACATGAGGACGACAGTTTCATGTGGTTTAAAATGAACTCAAATTCGACCACTCGAGGTGAAATTTTTTGCCGCCACACTCTGACGTCACAGAGCAACACGACATGAATCATATATATCAAAAATGGGGAGGGGTGGGGGAGAGACAACCACACACACTCACTTAGGCAGGTTATGCTGTAAATTTACAGTAATGACACCTATAGTTCTGTAAGCCAAAATCTCTATTTTAGAATGCTGAACATTAGGGTAGCTTCCTATAAAAACCATGTTCCCCCCCATGTCTGTTTCCCGCCCGACGACACTAAGCATATGGCTTAAATATTTGTAAAACTATGTAGTCCGATGGGGGAAGAAGAGTCTCTGCCTTCCTTCTCAGTCTGGCTTGCTGAGATGATCCTTTTCGAGACACTCTGCTGTGTGTAGCTGCACATGGCTGTGTGTGCACGTGTGTGTGTGTAAGTGTGTGTATGCATGTTAGAGAGCAGAGGGTGAATCCACAAAGAGGAACTTTTTTTTAAGGTGATCAGACTGCAATTCTCGCCCTGCGTGCCCCTTTTCCTTTATTTAAAATAACGGCACCATCTCCTCAACGTCTGACACCGAATCCTTAAATCGAGCGCCGCATCATAGCCGCCTTCCCTTTAGGCTTTCAGCAGGGCCGCCAGTGTAAACATGATCCCCCTTTTTTCTCAGTGAGCTCAGAATACTGCCTCGACAGACAGGCGGAAACAAAAAGTCAACAAAAAGACATTAACAACAAATACAATGGCCGTTGTCGTGGAGATATGCAGGTTTAAGGGGAAGAAAAACAAAAAGAAATTAAAACATTGACAGCTACCACGCAGGAATATTTCCTGGGACAGGGAGCAGTTAGGGCAGTATGGATCCTTAGTGCAATGAAGGCCAGAGGAGCAGCCGGCGGCGCGGCCTCAACGTTCATATGGCCGCTCGCTCTGGAAGGTGTGGCCGGCCGGCGAGTCAGCGGGCTGAAAAGAGAGGTCCAGTGGGCTTCATCAACTCTCGCCAGGAAGAAGATTAAGGGCAGACATTATGCTTCTAGTCACATATATTCACTCACACACACGTCCATACGTACTTTATACTCTGTAAAACTACTACGGCTAAAGCCTAGGAGGGGAAGAGAGAGTCCGGTCCAGAGCGTCCTCTGGAGGAGTCCTGAGCCTCATTTCGTTCACTTTGAATAAAAAGTAATGTACATGTGAGCGTCTACATGTATGAGGACGTGTAAACATCAAAATGTGAGTCGTGACGAGTGTGAGAGATTATTCTGCTAGGCCGCTGGAGCGAGTGTGTGGTGTTAGGGTTGTGTGCAGTTAACTATGCCTGTGACCAGTTTCATATTGTATCTGTATTTGTCGTCTGTGTGTTTGTGTGTTTCTCATATGTTTTTTTTCTTTTTAGTTTCCTGTTGTTTAGTCTCTCCACTGTTGCAAATGTACATTCATCCATCGTAGGGGGGGGGCAAGTATGACGCTGGGCCACACACCAACTGATCCTGAGGCTTTTCCAGTGGTCCGATACAGACGCTCGCCTCGTCAGCGCGCTCAAAATAAACAGCAGTAGAGGTACTGGAGGACACTGTACCACATGTAGCCGGAGGCGAAAGCAAATGTCTGGATAAAGCACAGCCACACTGGGTCGAGGGTCATCTGCCGGGACACTGCCTCCTTCTGTCCGTCTTGAGCGGGGAATGATCCTGTGGAGGACAGAAACACAGACCAGTCAGATTATCAAACGCTTCTAATAAGATGAAAGAAGATATACTTTATTAATTGAAGGGAAATTCAATTCTTTTACTCTGTTGTCATACGCACACAGACCCGAAATACACACACATGCACAAACAGGACGTAAACATGCATTACATGGAGAGATGTCAGTGTGAGGGGGCTGCTAATGAAAAGGCGCCCTGAGCAGATGGGGGTTTGGTGCCTTGTTCAGGGGCACCTCAACAGTGCCCAGGAGGGGAGCTGACACCTCTCCAGCTACCAGTCCACGCTACATGCTTGATCCAGATGGGGGCTTGAACTGGTGGCCAACCCAAGTCCCTATAGACTGAGCTACTGCCGCCCAAATAATGAGGTAAACATAAGGCCCATTTCCACTCCTCCGTCCTCTCACTCGGCCCTTTCAACCGCCGTGTCTCCACTGAGAAAGCGGAGTACGAGGAAGGTTCCTGTAAAGTTATGGGCTCTGGATGCGACGTAATCGCTGCGCGACCATTTTGACCGGGGTGACGTAGGGACGCCGTTAGCCGATAGCAGTGTCTGTAATAACTCACTAAATGGCCCGTGAAAAAAATATTTTTTCCAGCGGATGTCTTAGTTACAACTTGATTGAGCTAACTGGAGTAGTTTAATGTCGTATCCGACAACGGGAGGCTTTTAACAGATGACGTCCAGATGTTAGCTTTGCTGCTGCTGTTAGCTGTCCCTGTCAGCTGATGCTTTCTAGACATTGTGATTTCCCAAAACTGAATACATACCACACACAGCAACACAAAACTGCTTTGCTAGCTCAATCATGTTGTAACTAAGATATCCGCTGGAAAAAATATTTTGTTCACGGGCCATTTAGTGAGGTTTTTTTTTTTACATGGCGGCGGAAGCTATATGAACGAGCTAACCCTCGTCTGCTGAATTTTAAAAATGCCGGCTATTTTGTTGCTTTCTGTTGTCGTCACATCCCGCCTTGAGTGTATCCAATCAGCACCAAGTAATCCCCAAGCCCCAGCCAGGAGTCTTTCTGGGCCTTTCTGAGTACCTACTCCGAGTCAGGGACTTGTTTAGCCTCTGTAAAAGTTCTGGAACTCTGTCCTTTTGGGGTGGTTCCTGCGGTGGAGACACGCACCAACGGCCCCGGCCCCGTAAATTTACCCCGAAGTTCCTGCGGTGGAAACGGGCCTATATGTTCAGCTACAAGATGACATCAGCTTGTGATTGATTTCCTTATATGGTCGTCTGCTCCAGGCACGCTACTTCAAGTGTTTACATTACGTAGCCTAAACTGCTACATTTAGCCACAAGCTAACATCATTGAAACATGGACTATTGGTTGTTGCTGTTGTTAATTTCTCCCTGATTTCAGGTCGTATTTCTGCTGGAGCATGTCTAGTTGTGAAGATTTTGGTTTAGAGGCTTTTATTGGTGATTTTTTAGGGTATGGGTATGCCACTATTCTCCCTTACTGTCGTGGTGCCAAGACATTGAGATACAGAAGCCCCGTAAACACTGACCAATCAGAGCAGACTTGTCTTTTTCAGGTGGGGGGCTTAAGAGACAGGAACTAAAACAGAGCATCTCAAGCCCTTTTTAGACAGGAATTGTGCAAATGTGCAGGAAAGCCTAATCAGTCTTCTTTCAGCATTGGCAGGGGGCGTGAGCAAGTAACAAAACGTGTAGCTCAGCGTGTGACGTAAACAGTGAGGTACTCTAAGGGAAGCCACGGCTGGTCAGTCCTACAGCGATTCTCTCATAAGTTGGCCCGTTCTTTACCGTCCCCGTGATCTGACGGTTAATGGCCTCTTCGTTTCCGAGGGCAAGGAGGGCGCGCAATTCCTTGTCTCCTCAGTTGCTCATCTTTACAGTGTCTGTCAGGTTTGCGTTTCCCTCTTGCTACTAGCTGCTCGGTAATTCCTGCTATCAGCTTTTTCCTGTTTATCCACTGCCAGTGGGGCGCACGTGTGGCGTCATCAACAGCTCCTCCCACAACTCTTCAACAGCCCCTCCCGTTGCAGAAGGCCGCCTCGGTCTGTTTAAACTAAAAGTGTTCCACCAATATGTCTACCCTACGAGGCGTAAAATTGGGCGCCTCTGATCAACTTGCCAATCCGGCTCTGTATGTATAAATGCTCGCAGCTTGCCGGCAAAATGGCCCAACATTCGTGGAAAATCTGGCAGTGTAAAAGGAGCTTAAAACAGAGCATCTCAGACAGAAGCTGAATACAGGTGTTCCAGCACAGACAGTGCGAGGAAAATGCTTCTGAGTGATTCAGCAGCTGTTTAAATTACATGAACAAAAAGTAAGGTATAGTGGTGCTTACGTTAGCAAGCTAAGCTAACTAACGCAAGAGCTTGTGAATGGTTACTGAGTAGGAGGCGGCACCAGGTGTGGTAGCCTCGGCCACCAGTGTATTAATGTGTGTGTGAATGGGTGAATGTGCTTTGAGTGGTCGGAAGACTAGAAAGGTGCTTTACAAGTGCGATCCATTTACCATTTACTATTAACAGCACAGTGGATTGAACCAAATACTGTAACGTAAAATCTCCCAGTGGTTCATTACCTACGCTACTCTTTGGATATACTGTATGACAGTGTGTCTCCTAGCAACAACGACCCTAAAATGTCAGTCAACCTTTACCACATGAAATGCCCACTCAGAGGGTTAAATTTTTTTTTCTATTGAATGCATTTTTTAGCTTTTTTAGCTAAATAGAAGATATATGTCCCATAGCTGAAGGATCATTATAGTTTATGTTTCTTTACACAGAATTGAGGAGAATTCAGTTCAACTTTAACAAAGTGACATGGTGAGACAGACCTGTGTCATAGAAGTGGGTCAGCAACTCTTCCTTCTCCACGAACCTCTGATACAGCCAGTCAGTCAGTGCCTCTGCCTCCACAGGAACCTCTTTTATTGGATACATCCTGATGGAAACGGGAGAGACAGGCAGACAGGGAGAGAGATGAAACACAAAAAAGGATTACTGAGGTCTCACTCAGCAGAAACTGCCTGCATTGATCTGTCGTGGAAGCTGCAGTCCAAACCCGGGGTGTCAGCCGTGGTCCCTGAGCAGAGTGGTCTATTTCAACCTGGAATCTATTACGGCGGTCTGTGTGTTTGCTGTAGCTTCAGCTTGTTTCAGGGATTCATTAGCCGGCGGGCTCATCAGAGTGAGACAGAAGTGCTGAGGGGAGGCTGACAGGAGACAGACAAGTCATGGAGCTCCACAAAATGGTTTGGTTAGAAGTGTGTGGGAGGAAAAATCTAAGGGGAAAAAGTTAAAATCAGTTTTGCCACTAAGGCATAGAGATACAGCGCTATGAACTTCTGGCAACCTTAGAAATATCTTCAATCTGTGTTGCGGTACAGCCAGGCATATTTAAAAGTAGGGACAGCAAACAGGAAGACTAAAGCTGCTTTCACACCTGCCCTGTTTGGTTCGGTTCAATCAAACTCAAGTTCGTGTGGGCAGGAGTCAACACAGTAGTCACACTCAGGTGTGCACCAAAACAACCAGACTGAGACCCTCTTGAAGAGGTGGTCTCAGTCTGGTTACAAAGGAACTCTGGTGCGGTTCGTTTGTGGTGAGAATGTGTTCCGACCTGGATCTGAACCAACTGCAGTCACATGACACATTGTTTGGGTTAAACATGAGCATGTTACAGTCCTGGAGGATTATTAATGTGCACCTCCTCCTGTACTGCCTTAATATGCACATTCAGCACATCCAATGCATCAAAACATTGTTTTCTAGTTGGAGCTGTGCCTCGTTTTCAAACTGTATGGTTTGACTAAAATGAACAATGACAGCAATATAGTCCACGATGAGCAGCGCTAAAATCAACCTGCGTAGTTGTCCCTCCATTGTGACATTAGAAAGTGTCACATTTATCTTGCAAGTGTACTCTTCTTCAACGTTTTGTTTACTTCCTGGATTTTTCCCACATAGAAATTCTGACCAATCAAGAGCAGCTTTCTCGCGCAAGGTCCACTTGTAAATGCTGTCGTGAGAACACAAACCAACTCTAGGCAATTATGCAACTTTGTGACAAAATTAGTCCCTGATTCGGACCAAAGCAAGACAACTCTAGGTGTGAAAGCAACCTAAATTGCTCAAAATATGGCAACTATATGTTCAATTTCATAAAATATAGCTGGTTATATCATCTAATATGACTGAAAACTAGCTGCCAGCCTGGAAACCACTTTTAAAAGTAAGTTTCCAGAGCCTGTGACGACTTCTTAAAAGCACACAATGTGTCGGATAATGAAAAAATGACATTCAACATTTTTACCCAGTAATGGGTTAAGATGACATCTGTTAGCATTTATATTTAATACATCTGTTGTATCCATTAGGAGTAATTCTGAATACAAGAAGAAGGATAATGTTGTTTTGTTTACTTGGTGTCCATGGTGATTTTACAGTCACATGACTGATTAATGACCTGTAAGGACACCAGAAACAGCCTCAGACATTATGCTGATGAAGACAAGATAACAGAACTCATCTGGTGTACTGGAGAAGAGGTGTTTTAATCTGATCTCTTCAAGTTCCAAGTTTCGCCTGCACCTCACTGTTTGTGCATTCTCAAAGTTATAAATTGTCTAACCAACAGTCTAAAAACCTAAAAATATTCACTTTATTATAATAAAAGATGAAAGAAACAAGCAAATCCTGACATTTAAGAAGCAGAAACCAAAAAGATTTACTTAAATGACTTTCCTGTCTAGCTGTTTCATCTCTATTCTTCAGCCTGACCAACATCTACCTGATTATTTCTCATATCATATCAACCATCTCCAGCTGGACAAAACTACAGCTTCTTGCAATCACACACGTCACACACTGTTTAAAGCAAACACAATGACTGGTTGACATTGTGAGAACAATGAAGGGTCACTTCTAAAAGCGCTGCTGAAGTCTAGTCTCTAGCCAGAAGGGGTCCCTAGTAGGCTGCACTCCCACACAGACCAGCTCCTGGTCACCTTCAAATAGAGGTTACAGTCTCCTCCCTCAGACAGAGCATTTCCTCTGCACTCAACATTTGCTCAATATTCCCGACTGGATAATGTCCACCGTGAAAGTACATCTGTGCCTATGAGGAGAGCTCCTGTAAGAGGGAAGTAATAAGGGATACAGTATCGATTACTAAAAGGGATCAATACATATTAAAAAGCAATCCAAGCAAAGAGGCAGCGGCACTCCTGTCAGGATGGGTTGTGGTTTCACGAACAGTTGAACAACACAGACATGTTTCGACACACTGCTGCAGGTACGAACACATGGCTATGTGAGCAACCATCCCCTTAATTCAAAAATAAATATTACGAAAGATGAAAAATAATCAGCAGTGTTGGTTTCGAAAGATTTTATTCTGATTATTAGAGCTCTAAAATCAAACTGAAAGGATTTATTTAGACAGTTTTTATGCAAAAAAACAAAACAAACAATTTTGGATGTCAGCTTCTCAAATGTGAGGATATACTTACTTTCTTTGTTTTCTTTTATTCTGTATTTGAATTTTGGACAGATTGTCATGTGAAATAAGGCATTTAAAGACAACATGGCCTCTGAGTAATAATAATGTCCATTTTCCAGCTGTAATTTCCACATTACTATTTAAATGATCCCCTAAATAAAATAATAAATGTAACAAACACACAAAATAATCAGGAGCAGTGTCTACATGACGTTTCCATCAATCAAACATAATTTAAGGAGGTAAAATTGTTTTAAGGGTTTACACTTAGCCATTTCATTCTCCCATATTCTGAATATTATTGGTGTAAAAAGCTCCTGTCAGAGAGGAACGCCGGCGCAGTAAAAACCTGGTCTTTGAACTGAAGCAGTCGGTATGACCCAATCAAGGAAAAGGCTTGGCCTGCTTGTTCCACAGATCAGAAGGGCAGAGCTGACGATTCAACACAGACTTCCGCCTGCTTCTTATATTCCAAGTGCATATCTGCAGGCCCTTATCCTCATTATCCTGCAGTTCACTGTGTGGGTGTTGCTCTGTGGCAAGTCTGAACAAGGTCCTGCTTAAGTAGAGCAACTTTTATGTCCCCAGTGGCATGAAACTCCTGTTAAATTCAAGATAAAACCGACTAAAATCCACCACTTTCATCTGTTTATGGTTCCAGTAAAGCTGAAGTTTTGAAGATAAAATAGGTTTTTGACTAACAACAACACCGTTGTCCCCTCTGAGCGGATCTGGCTTCCCAAAACTGGAGCTGAGCCGCTGCGGCCACCTGATAGGGTGATCAGAGGTGAAAGCAAGACGTTTCATGATGCTTCTCCTATATCAGGTGTCTTTCACGTTACTGATGTGCCATAGAAACCAACCAAACACTACCAGTAATGCATCTTCAAAGCACGAGGATGGAGAAAAGAAGCTCAGAAAGAGGCTGAGAAAAGCCTTTTTAGAGACTGTCAGCCCAAAACATTTTTTTGGCATTATCAAGATTGTATCCAGTCTGGTTTTGGAAAATCTGGACTAGAGCTGGGCAATGTATTGATCTGATACAGATACTGTGATATGAGACTATATTTTAGATTTAATAATATTCTAAGTGTTGTCTTTTCCTGGTTGTCAAGGTTGCATTACAGTGATGTCATTTTCTGAACTTAACAGACTGTTCTAGCTGTTCTATTATTGGCCTTTACCCACTTAAGTCATTATATCCACATTACTAATGATGATTTAGCACAACTTTTACTGCATAAATATTTTGTGACAGCACCAATAGTCAACCTAACAATATTTTTGCAATGCAATATCAAGGTATTTGCTCAAAAATATAGTCATAAGTGAATTTCTCCACATTGCCCTGCCCTGGCAGCAAAAGATCACGTAAAATGGGATTTTTGCAAATCGAATCCAAACCACATTATTTTAAGATATTTTTTTGGCCTTTGTTATTTGTTATTTGATAAGACAGTTCAAGCTTGAATGGGGAGATAGAGAGGGGATAACATGCAGCGAAGAACCACGGGCTGGAATTGAACCTGCAGCCGCTGTGGCAAGGACATGGCCTTTGCACAGGGGATGCCCACTCTACCTGTTAAAGGGACATTGTGTAACATTTTCAGTTGTTTATTGGCAAAAATTGATGTCTGCATTCATAAATATGTCATCACTGGTGTACTATTACNTCAAACTGTATGGTTTGACTAAAATGAACAATGACAGCAATATAGTCCACGATGAGCAGCGCTAAAATCAACCTGCGTAGTTGTCCCTCCATTGTGACATTAGAAAGTGTCACATTTATCTTGCAAGTGTACTCTTCTTCAACGTTTTGTTTACTTCCTGGATTTTTCCCACATAGAAATTCTGACCAATCAAGAGCAGCTTTCTCGCGCAAGGTCCACTTGTAAATGCTGTCGTGAGAACACAAACCAACTCTAGGCAATTATGCAACTTTGTGACAAAATTAGTCCCTGATTCGGACCAAAGCAAGACAACTCTAGGTGTGAAAGCAACCTAAATTGCTCAAAATATGGCAACTATATGTTCAATTTCATAAAATATAGCTGGTTATATCATCTAATATGACTGAAAACTAGCTGCCAGCCTGGAAACCACTTTTAAAAGTAAGTTTCCAGAGCCTGTGACGACTTCTTAAAAGCACACAATGTGTCGGATAATGAAAAAATGACATTCAACATTTTTACCCAGTAATGGGTTAAGATGACATCTGTTAGCATTTATATTTAATACATCTGTTGTATCCATTAGGAGTAATTCTGAAGACAAGAAGAAGGATAATGTTGTTTTGTTTACTTGGTGTCCATGGTGATTTTACAGTCACATGACTGATTAATGACCTGTAAGGACACCAGAAACAGCCTCAGACATTATGCTGATGAAGACAAGATAACAGAACTCATCTGGTGTACTGGAGAAGAGGTGTTTTAATC